TGTTCATTTCTTCACATCTGCAAGGTGATTGTGTCTAAAGCTGTTAATTGATAATCGAAAACAGCTTTAAAGTAGCTTTGCCAAATGAACTTCAAGATAGCCTAATTTGCTATTTTATTGTCCTTGGTCTTCTGGTGTGGTTGTTTGTTCGTTTATTTAGATGATTCACTGGGTGAAAGTAGGAATGTTAATTTCCAGGTTTTTATTGACTTTTCGTTAGCTAGAATAAATTACTTTCCAGTAAAGAATTTTTTTAAACAAACAAATTACCACATTCTTCCACTCTCACAAACAAAGCCTTTTTTTGGGCCGTTTCTTAAATATCAGTTTTCTTGTGGTAATTTTAATTTCATTTTGTTTGTGGGGTCCGAGACCTCTCACTTACCAGGAGAGTGAGTGTTCAACCATCTGAATTAAAGGGTTATATCACTATCGCTTTTCAGTAAGGTACTTTTTTTTTTTTGCAACTTGACACCTACCACATTTTTATTTTGGGTCTTATCTCAGAGCCGTATTAAAAATCCTTGGGGCCCCTTGTCCCATTAAGTCACAAAATTACAGTAAAATATATAGAGAAATAGGCGCTTAAAATAATTATAAAATGCATTAATAACATAGCAATACATAAGATACTACACTTAAATGAAGCTCCTTAATTTTGTTACATATAATTAAAAATATATACAAAATCAGTGACACCCCTCCAGATCGGACAAGGTTGGAAGCTTTCTTCTTAATTATAATTTTTTTTGTGAAAACACAAATAGGTAGCATTTGTAACTGTATATATTTTGATCTAGCAGATATGCCTAGTTGTTGGTGGTGGATTTTAACGAAGAACCCCTATTTGGTTTGGATGCTCCTGCATCTACCCCTAGGTGCCAGTTATGGCTGCGATATTTTTATATTATTAACTTGAGACTCCTCGTCCATTAGGTGATTGCTCTATTGACTAAGCCAAAGGACTAACCAGTTAGTAATTGCTAATAAGCCACTTTCTTTTAAACAACTACCTCAAACTAACACAATCTTGAATTATAAAAAAAAAAAAAAAAAGCGCTCTACGTTCGCTATTAGTTTTTCTTTCGGTAATTTAAGTTTAAATTTTAGCCCCCAGTGGCACAGCGGTATGTCTGCGGAGTTACAACGCCAGAAACCGGGTTTCGATACCTGTGATGGGCTGAGCACAAATAGCCCATTGTGTAGCTTTGTGCATAACTACAAACAAACTTTAAGTTTTATCTAGATTTGGATTTCAACCCGAGAACTCTCGGACACCAGGCGAATGCTCGACCAACTGAGCCAAAGCGTTAACCCTCTGGACTTTTCTAGAAAGGCACTTTTTAACATCTGAACTTGAACTACCACAAATGTGCTTTCAGTCCTCAATTGTAAACTGGCCTTGTCTTTGTGCTTACTAAGTGCTGATAAAAGCCCCCACAAATTCAAACCGTGATTACGAAAATGATCGACATTCTGAACTATTTAGTACACATTTTAAAATATATATAATATGTTTTTTGTTTATCTATTTGTTGTTAAGCACAAAGCTACCTAATAGACTATCTGGGCTCTGTCCACATCAAGTACTGAATCTAATAATAAGCCACTAGGAGGATAGGGGAACTCATATCTATTGCAAATATTAATAGAAAATATTATTAATTATAAATTCACTTGATCTTAGCTCATAATTTATAACTGTATGTTTCTAACATTGTGGATGACGTAATAATTAAAATTGTAGTTTTTTGAAAATTAGCGCGATAGCACAAGCAAAATACAGAGCTTTATATATTTGGAGGGTTCTTGGGTCGCGTTCCATTTCTGCAAAATCACGTTTCTTATTTTAAGGGCTGTGAGTGCAACACAAGAGTGATGGCCAAATCTTAATGTTCAATGAGTTACGAGTAGGGGGAGGGGAGCTGTGGACTAGCTGCCTTATGTTCTAGTCCATCAATTTAAGTTGGATCATGGTAGCTCAGTGGTAAGCTTGAGGGCTTATAACGCTAAAATTCGCGGTTTAATCTCTCTGGTGGGCACAGCATAAATAAACCTTTTACGAAAAGGTAGAAAACGGCGATTTTAACTGTTGATAGACAATGACAACAGTTGTGCTATAACAGACAGTCACTTTTAAAGGACATTCCTGGTAGAAGAGCTTTCATCATCACGTACCTTTGAAAGTCAAAGTGATCCTTGCTCTTACTAACTTTTTCAATAGGCTAAATATCATACGACTACATCTCTATCTTTATATGGCTCAACCAGTCACTTGACATGTCACATGATCAACCTATTTTGTGTATGTGAATAAATAGTGTGTGTGGGTTAGTCTTAAAAAGTTGCCTATAATTGTATATCAGGTTAATATAATATAGTGTCCAAGTACGTTTGCAATTGGCCTTTTTGTTGGATATGACAAAGTATAAATCTTTCAAAATTAAAAAAAAACAACAAGAAACGGTTTTTATTTAATAAAGATATGTTGCGAGAATTACACAAGGTTGTAATCATAGTCAACGACATGAACAGTCTGGTAAAAGAAACTAGTGGGTTGAATAGTTTAATTTTTACTTAATACTCACTGGACTGTTGCATTTTACGGTGTAATTTGTTACATCTTCCTTATATAGATGTATATATAAATAAAATACACTTCACATAGAACCTGAAACAATACAGATAGAGAAACGCATGTTATTGTCTCTGAATACTTTCCTACCAGTACAATCCAAGGAGTATTGAAAATAATGTTCAGCAACAATTCTGATAGTATTTTTAATGGAACAATATTAATGAAAAATGCTTTGAAGTTTTCTTCGTTATGGAAGAAATGTCGATTAAATTCTATTTAAATCTTGTCTTCACTGAAGAAATGTCTCCTTAGAATTTCGTCCAAGGTTATCTTGAAGGAACAAAATACTCACAAAAAATATAATTGTTTCTTAAAATGTTCTGGAAATCATAGTGGATAACTTAATGATTTACTCATGTAAGTTGCATGTATTCCTTCCATAATTGTGGGAGGTCCGTTCCTTGAGTTACTTTTAAGAACTTTTCATCTAACCGTTTCGATTGATCTTCTGTCATATAATTCTTCCAATCGCCAACAATACCTTTTCTTATGAAGTTTGGTTTGTCAGGAGTCTTCAGGTCACCTAAGCGAATAGCATTGAGAATACCAGCACGAAGACCCGGGGGTGTCGACCCCATAAGGAATTTCAGAGGATTTGTTTTGAAGAAGCTTTCCAAGTCCCTGTTGACTGTTTTTTTCATATAATCAAAGCTGGTGTAATAAAGGATTCTTTGCAATAGTTCCTCGTCAGCCTTCAGCATTTCTAAACACTCTTCATGTAAGAACCCCGCTACCTTGAGTACTACCTCACGTATGTTAGTCTTCATCTCCTCATAAGTCACAAACAGCACGTTATGGTCGCCCCGATGTGGATACCAAGACATCAGATTATCAAAGTAGTCTCCCGAGATCGTCTCTCCTGTTACAAACAGCTCGAAAAACGTGTTGAAAGTCCCATTCTGGAACCTGTACATGGGAAACATCAGATGATGGTGGAAGTAAGAGACACAGTTATCCTTAGGATTTCTGGCTACGTAAATGTATTTAGCTTCTGAAGAATAGGGAACCAAATGAAATGGAAAGTGGGTTTTTATCGGGCCCGGTTTCGGCATTTCTCTAATAGCTTGTGAGCCCATAGCATCTAAAAACGGAGTCTTTCGGATAAACTCCATGTGATCTTGGTGCTGTTTCCCGTTGTTTAAAATCAGCAATACAATATGCTGCATCCAAGTCATTCCACTCTTTGGATAAGAGGCAATAAATATGTCACCTTTCTCAGGAGTATAATTCAAGGCGTCTAGTAAGATATGTCTTGGCAAAATGCGAGGATATTTACGGCCGTTAATAACTTGGTAAACAGGAACGATTTCATTTTGTGGCTTTTTCATTAAATAGGAGTTTAAAACACTGAAAAAAAAAGATGTAAAATTTACAGTTAATAAAAAAATACTAATAAGCATCTTGAAATAACGGAATTATGAACTATCTTAAACTTAAGTTAGAAACATTACTTTGTAAGTCTTATGGTACAGAGTGCCTGAGGACCTACTGTGTATTTTCTTCTGCTTTAAATAATACGTATTGTTTTTTGAAAATTCTGTGTTTTCTTTCTTTTCAGTTTGGAAGTAGAAAGTATTTCAAGTAAAGAAAGTCTGGTATCTATCAAATAACCACTAGAGGGCCATTAATATCAGGTAGTTCTATCAGGCAAACAGTAGAGAGCCATTAATATCAGAAATTTCCATCAGGCAACCAGTAGAGAGCCATTGATATCAGAAATTTCTATCAGGCAACTAGGAGAGGACCATTAATATCAGAAATTTCTATCAGGTAACCAGTAGAGGACCGTTAATATCAGAAATTTCTATCAGGTAACCAGTAGAGGACTATTAATATCAGAAATTTCTATCAGGTAACCAGTAGAGGACCATTAATATAAGAAATTTCTATCAGGTAACCAGTAGAGGACCATTAATATCAGAAATTTCTATCAGGTAACCAGTAGAGGACCATTAATATCAGAAATTTCTATCAGGTAACCAGTAGAGGACCATTAATATCAGAAATGTCTATCAGGTAACCAGTAGAAGACCATTAATATCAGAAATTTCTATCAGGCAACCAGTAGAAGACCATTAATATCAGGAAGTTCTACAGTTGTACAGGTTCTACTGTGGTATCTATCAGATAACCATCAGATCCATTAATATTAGGAAGTTCTAGGATTTAGGGTTTGGGTGTACAGTTCCTGGAGAATTACGACAGGTAAATCACAGAGAAAGAGACATGACACGGATACACACAAATAACAAATGTTGAATAATACTTTTACAAGTTAAAACACAATGCAATATACAATTACGATATAAACTGTTGGGCAAGTGATAGCATGTGTGTGACAGGAGGTGAAGAAGACTTTAACAAAGGAGATAAACAAATATTAATGTGTGACAAGAGTTGAAGAAGACTTTAATAGACAAAGGAGATATTGTCAGTGTGTGAGTAGATCTCAATTGTAAGTTAGATTAGATAAATCGTTAAAAGGAAATACTAAATGAAAAGTACCCATAGTAAGCTGAAAATTACTTTAAACTGCATCCAAAAACATCTTACGTGAACTCGAAGTTCTTACCCGTATTTCACCAACAAATCTACAAAAACACTTTAATCCTTAAATAGTGGAGCAAACGTTACATTCAAAATTCTTAAACCGAGAGTGCAAAAACAACAATAAAAAAGAGGTACAACCAGAGTCGCACCGATTCTTGATTTAAAGCAAAAGTGAAAGCACAAAGAAAGTACAGAAGTACAGCTGAAACTGAAGGGTTTTTTGCTAGTAAAGGGGAGTGTTATGTGTGTGTCAGACTGTGTTAAATCTCTGGTAAATCGGCATAAAATCTTGTTTGGTGGGGGGGGGGGGATTCGAATCCGCGACCCCCAGGTTATGCAGGGCCATCTCTTTAAATATAAACATTGTTGTTATTCCTGTATGAATCAGATAAGTAGGCTTTAGCTTTCACCTAGAACTCTTTAGCCATACAAAGAAAGTTAAAGTTAGTATTTCACTTGAGTGCCCCGCTACGTCCAACTGAGGTTCTATGAAAAACAATATAATTTTTGAAATATATATTTTAACTAACGGGGTGGCAAACATATAGTACATCCTTTCACTACATCACGGAAAACTGCCAATTAGCCTGTGAACAGGTGGGATGTAAGCCTCTACGGGCGACCACGAGATTTGTGACAGTAGAGGCCGTTCTCGTAATGGGAGGCAGCCACACCTCTTGGAGAAACCCGAGAGTTTGCAATGCAGGTAGACGAGGTGTGCTCATCATCTTGTCACTTGGCAGCTATCGGGATCAGAGTCGATGTTCAGCAGAATGAAGGGTTTATGGATCCCAACAGCTCCCATATCGTGTTGGATTCTCCAGTGCGTGGTAGACCACATTGAAACCACACAAGCACACGGTGGAGGTAATAGACTTCTTCCCCCATGTGCGAGAGAGAGGGTGGTGAAAGGCTGGGCCATGCCCTAGAATAAGCAGGATTTAGTACAGACAATGCTATGTCTGATGTTGAATATGCTGGATCCTAAGCTCATTTCATTTAAGTGCTTGGTAAGAAGAGGCAGCATTACAGCTACAATGGTCAGCTGAGACAGTAACAGTGACCTTTTGATTTCTTGGTTGAGATAACAAAGTAGATAGAATGGTCATTTGGTCATACTATCAATGATTGAAAAGGCTTAGTAACTGAAAAAACGACAAAGTGTGATGAGTTTTATTCCTAAAATGGTGTATAGTGTAGCCAGAAATTATGGTATGTCACGACGAGCATTACTGACATCATTTGTCAAGTCTTACATGCTCCAGCTGTCTCACAGTTGAGCCTAAATTCACTTCCTGGAAAATTTTCACGATGTCATGAAACAAGAACTTTGTAATATGGAGCCAATAGTTCTGAAGTTGCCACAAGTAGTCACACACCTTCGTTTCTTTATTTTTCTATTGTGGCTGCAGGCTGAGCATACATGGATTTTAAATTATTTTGTATATATTTAGTTAATTCTCTAGAGTAGAGTGAACATAGATATTTCCAGTAGTTTAATTAATATTAAAGGGGCTTCTTTTATTTTCTTTATCGTATTTAGACGTTTTTTTTTTTAGATTAAGTGTTACAGAGATTCTCATGTGCCAAACACATATACACACATGTATATAAACATATATCTAGATAGGTATATATGTACAGTTTTTAAAGTTACCTTGTATACATGTAATTTGTGTTTAAGTTATATGTTAGACAGCTTATATTTTCAGCTATAAATGTAAAGTTTTTATTTGAATAACTTCGTTTAAATGTACTTTGTTTTTGTGTTAATATGTTATATTTTTAAAGGATTCTAGTTATAGCTTCCATTTTTCTGTAAAACGTTTATTTTTCTATCGTATTTAGTTTTGTTGTTAAAGAGGTTTATATTGTGTGTTCCTTAGTAAAGGGTAATTTATTAATTGTGCTAACTTGATGTATAATGTTTCAAGTGTTAATGTGTACTTTCGAAATGATTTTTCCAAAGTTTATTTTTGTCCCATGTAAAATCTTCATTGTTTAAAGTTTCAGTTTATTGTTTCTTTTTTAAAGGGTATCTTGGTATGGTTTTATTGTTACAGAATATTTTTTGTTTTGGTATTTTATATTCTTGAAGTATAAAGTATGTTAGATTATCCATGGCAGTGGGAATATGTGTGCTGTGTAATTGTTTCTTTATAGATGTTTAGTGTCATTGGGAGAGTGATTTTATTGGAGAGAAGATTTGTACTGTTTCTTGCTTGGCATATGATTAAAGGGAAGAGGGAATCTTGTAGATAAATAAAATGTTGCACAGGACAATACCTGCTTTTTCTGCTCCCTTGATTAATAAGTATGTGTTTTTTCAAAATATCTGTATTTTCATTCAGCTCAGTTTGGGCATGAAAGTCGTGTAACTAAACGCACACCCAACTTAGCTTCCTGTTAGCTATGTATGTTGGACTTCATCTGCTAATTGTCAATTAACCGAATTTTCTGCAAGGAAGATAGCATGTGATGTTTAGGAATAAAACGTTGTCTCTTCTGTCAGCAAATCAGGTGATAGCCCAAGAGTTTCTCCGCCTTTGCACTCGAGCATGAGTGGGTAGAGGTCACCTATAGGGTTATGTTTCATCTACAAATTGACTTAAGTTGTTATCGCAAGTTTCGTATTAAAAGCCAAGATATCTGTTCTTCAGTAGACATTTTCAGAAACTTTGCTAAATTTGTTAAACTTAGACTTCAACTGTATCTTTAATTTTAATTTGATGTTGAGTATATAACTGAACCAAAATACTGGTAAGCTTTTCCATTTAGTTTTGTAAACCTTTTGTGAGATTTTACTTTTAACTTTATTTTAGAGTTAGTACAGTGTTTTATTTTAATTTGTCATTTGGTTTCAGATAAATATTAATAGTACACTTTTGCAGCTTACCTCATAGGGTGTAAGACACTCTGGACTGGTGAGAGAGCTCACAAACTGTGACAAAGGAGCTTCCATTTCCTTTCTCTGTCCCCACCCCACTCTAACAGACCCACAAATCCCTGTTTTGTCTTGTGTTAGTAACTGCGACTGTGATGTTATTATTAAATATTCTTATGCACCTTCCGTGATTCGACTATTTCTTCCTGACGAACTTATTTAGACATCAAAGCGGTAAAGTACACATACACTCTGTAACTTGGAATCCTTAGATTCTCCAGTTAGTGTCTCTTAGGGAAATACTACAGACTTTAACTATTTAAAGCTTAATGAAACTGAAAATATTACTTTGTGAAAATCTTGAACTGATTAAAACTAAATTTAGTTGAGAAACACTGTTTTGTTAAAATGTTGAACTACTCAAAAACTAGTAATATAGTAATCTTGTGTAACCGAGAACTTGTAAAAAGTTAAAACTACTCAAAACCAAACTTAACTGAAAACGTTACTATGTAAAAGTCTTGAACTACTTAAAATTGAACAGAAGTGATAACTTCACCTTGTCAGTGTCTGGAACTAATTAAAACCATCTTTAACTGAGAACGTTACTACGTGAAAGTCTTGAACTACTTAAAATTGAACGGAAGTGATAACTTTACCTTGTCAGTGTCTTGAACTACTTAAAATTGAACGGAAGTGATAACTTTACCTTGTCAGTGTCTTGAACTAATTAAAGCTAAACTATTAACATTACTTCGTACACGAGCTTCTTCAAGCTAAATGATGTAAATGAGAACGTTACTTTGTTAATATCTTAAAATGTTTAAAACTATACAGAACTGAACATGTGAAACATTTGTAACGATTGGTTGTCTTTTTTTTTACGTAAAACAT